TAGGGACTTTAAGGGATGGGGGCCCAGCCAGGGTGGTTCAGGCACGTTCTGGGCTGTGTGTTCTCCCTCCACAGATTTTGCTGGAAACATCTGAGTTTGAGGATGGTTCAATTAGTCTCGTTGTGTCTGAGGTGAGGCTGGGGTCAGTGACTCACGGTGGGGTGTCAGGAGCCCACGGACGTGACTCAGGACTCCTCTGGGGTAGACACACGTTAATCTTTTCAGAACCATCCCTCAAGAGTGTAATATTTTCCAAAGCCTCAAAATTTCCAGGTTGTTGAGTCTGTGCAAATCCTCTTCCATTTCTCCAGGGGGAATGGATTTTTTTTAGCCTCAATAACAGACCTGCAGCCTGTCCTGCTCACTTCACACTTCAGGAGATAAATTTATGGCTTTAGGATTTACAATCTGCTTGTTGTTATTAGGGGAGCTGCTTGCAGCTTCTTCCTGCCTTGTGTGAGAGACACGAGCCTTTGTAACGTGTGTAATCCATCTCTCAGGTGTTGGGATTGTTTAAAACAGTGGCTGGTAGGAAAGGAGGCTGCTCTTAAAACCGCTCTGTGGTTCCCTCAGGCTCACCTCACCGGTGTAATCCCGGGCTGGAGCAGGATCATAGAATCACAGAATGGTTTGGGTTGGAAGGGACCTTAAAGCTCATCCAGTCCCAACCCCCCTGCCAGCAGCAGGGACACCTTCCGCTAGACCAGGTTGCTCAAAGCCTCATCCAACCTGGCCTTCAACACTTCCAGGGAGGAGCAGCCACAGCTTCTCTGGCCAACCTGGGCCAGGGTCTCACCACCCTCACAGTGAAATCCCCACACAGGGATGTCTGGGCTGGAGGCAGCTGCAGGAGATGGTTCCTCCTCTGGTGACTCAGTCACATGCTGCAGCGTGTGCAACGTGTCCCCAGCACCATCCTGCGTGTGCCTGCAATGAACCTGCCCCTGTGGGTGGTTGTGGTGGAGGGAACCATGTCCTGGTCCTGTCCCTGCACGCCCTGAGCCTGCTGGCAGCTGCGCTTCTTCCAGAGCGTGTTTGGCTGCAGGTCAAAGCAGAGGATGAGTGAGATGCACTGAGGGAAGTCACGTGGGCTTGGCCCTGCGTGGGTTTGTCATCAGTGGGGCTGGATGGGGAGGTTGCTGTGCCCTGTCCCAGCTCTGCTGGGTGTCTTGTCACTTTGGGGACAGAACAAGCAAGGAGAGAGAGTTCAGGAATTAATTTATCAAATGTGATTACAGTGGGAGAAGCTGGAAAGAGACTGAGCCCAGAGTGAAGCTCCAGGAGTGCTGGGACAGGTCTGGGTTGGAATCCACCCCTGAGAGACTCTGTAGGAATTTGGTGTAGGTCAGTTGGGAGGGAGCTGAGAGCCCAGCCTGGCAGGAGCGAAGCTGGTGCTGTTCACTCACCAGTTGTGCACAGCAACACTTCACCAGTTCCATGGCACTTCCCCAGTTGAGTGGAGCTCGCTGGAATGGTGTGCTGCTTGGAAGCTGGGGGTGGATGGGCAGGATTTTTGTGTCCAGACCACCTGGGTATTGACAGCACCAAGGGCTCTGTCTGTTCTGGGCTGTGAGGAGGAGCAGGGGAAGGGACCGACCCTCCTCTGGCTGCTCTCTGACCCTCCTCTGGCTGCTCTCTGACCCTCCTCTGGCTGCTCTCTGACCCTCCTCTGGCTGCTCTCTGAACGGCTCTGGTTTTGCCCCTAGAGAGGAAGCGGTTTTACCAGCACGTGAGCATCTCCCAGGGAGAAGGTGAGTACAGCTGCTGGGACAGGACGGGGGGCTGGTTCCTGGGAGGGCTGTTCTCACCCCACACTGCTTCAGGGAGCGTGTGGCACACCCACAACCCAGGCTGTGTGAGCCAGGGACTGGTCACCAACCTGCTCTGCCCCTTTCTCATCTACAGTGAAGCTCTGTGGGGGGAAACAGACCAAGTGTGTCCAAATGATGGTGATGGTGGGAAACTCCCTGCTCCCATCAGCTCCCATCAGCTCCCATCAGCTCTGGCTCTGCGTCTGCTCCTGCTCCGGGGTTGTCTGTTGTTCCTTAGTGCTTGCTCCTCTTTGATTCCCCAGGATTTCTACTCTGATTCTCCAGGAGGCTTTGAAATAAACCTGGACCACCGAAAGCTGAAAACACCCCAGGCCAAGCTCTTCACTGTCCCCAGTGAGGCCTTGGCCATTGCAGTGGCCACAGAGTGGGACTCCCAGAAAGACACCATCAAGTTCTACACTATGCACCTGGTGAGCACGGCAGGTGGGGGCACCCAGACCTCGGTGGGGTGGGATGTGGTGTGTTGGGAGCAGTCAGGTCGAGGAAATCAGGATAAAAGACAGGGAATTGAAATGCCAGGGGCTAAAGGTGGGTTTGCCAGGCCACTGCTGCATGGCAAGGGCTTTGCCAGCTGGCAGAATGGATTCCAGAGCAGGACCTGAGAACCAGTTTGGGGTGTAAGCCTCGTGCAAGGGTGTGTGAGATGGAGGCATCTTCTGAGAATGCTGCCTTCTGCGTCCTGCCTCCCCCAGCTCTCCTGAGTGCTTGCAGTGGAGCTGGCATGGCTTGGTTTGAAATGGAGGTGACTGTGTGGACATGAGAACAGTCTCCAAATGTAGAACATGGAGAGAGCAGGTTGTCCTGATGCCCAGGGAAACAGGGACAAGAGGTCAGGACTTTGTTTAGGCACTGGGAGAACCTTGCAGTTGTGAGGGCAGTTAGATACTGGCTGGGTGACTGTTTAGGGGGGAGTCTGTGTCACTGGGGGGCTTGAAAAGGAGCTGGACAGTGTTACTGGGGATAGCTCAGAGCAGGAGGAAATAGAGTGAGCTCTGGAGCAGTCTGAGCCCCCTTCCCTGGTGCTTCATGCTTCTGGGGCTTCTGAAGCCAGTGAGAAGGTTTCTGTCATGTGAACCATATTCTGACCTCAAACCCCTTTTAGCTGCACTCCTTGGTTCTCTGTCTGCCACCAATTCCTCTACTTCTTCTTGGCCTCGTACAATGCAAACTGCTGCTTCCTCAAACCTTGAATAACAGCAGTTGAAACTGCCTTTCTCCCCCAGACCACGCTGTGCAACACGGCGCTGGACAATCCCACGCAGCGAGACAAAATGCAGCTGATCCGGGCGGCTGTCAAGTTCCTGGAGACTGACACTGTCTGGTAGGAGCTGGGGCCTCGCTGGTGCAGAGGAGAGCTCGTCTTGTTGCAGTGTGGTTTTGGGAAGGGTGGGCTCAGGGAAAATGAGGGCAAATGTCTGCTGTAAGCCAGTCACAACAAGGCTCTGATCTATCCTGGTTTTGGCCCGAGGGTTTGAATTAGTTTAGGCCAGTCCTATGTCTGCAAACCTGGTGGAAGTCCAGGCATCTGAAGGGCACAGGTATGAGGGACGATGGGCATCTGGTCCTCTGGTAAACTCTGGTTTGGAGACCTCCGTGCTGGGCAAGGGCAGGAGCAGCAGGAAATGAAGATCTCCTTGAGAGGGGAAAAAAAATCTGAGGGGAGAAGGGAACAGGACTCCCCCATCTGCCTCTGGCTTTGGTGAGGGTGGTATGGGGAGTGCTGAGCTGAGCTGCTGGGCAAGGTGAGGCAGGAGGAGTGGCCCCAGATAAAGAATTCCAGTGGGATATGTCCCCTGCTCTAACCACTAAACCTCACTGCATCCTGTGGCTGGCTTGGGGCTACCAGCAATTTTCTGTTTTGTGGTAAGAATTGTCCTTCCTGGAACAACAAAAAGCTCTACATTTGGGGAAGAACAGGGGGGATTGTTCCCTGTCACTGCTGCCACTGCCTGGGTGGGCAGTAAGCCTTTGCTCCCCTCGCTGTGGTCTGGGGAGGGGGCAGCTTCCTTCCCAGAGGTGTGTCCCTGCAGTCTGGCAGCCTGGGAGTGAATATCCAGCCTGTTGTTGTTCTGCAATGTCCCAGCTATCGCGTGGAGGAGCCAGCTGCCTTGGCAGAGCTGCAGAAGAATGAATGGGATCCTATTGTTGCCTGGGCTGAGAAAAGGTAAGAGGTCAAAGATGTTTCTGTCTGTTTATCCCCTGCCCTTCTCAGACCAGGAGCTCTAGTGCTTGTGGCTGTCAGAGCTGCAGTGTTCACTAGCCCTGTGCTTTTCTAAAGGGCTGGGTGATTATTTCCAGGTACAACGTGGTAATTGGCTCCTCCACCAGCATTTTGGGGCCAAATATCCCAGCCAGCACCAAGGAGACTTTCATCAGCCATCTGGCATCCTACAACATGTGGGCCCTGCAAGGTGAGAGAGGCTGTGCCAGGGTGTCCTCTGCTCAGGCTGCATCAGTGGAGGAGGTGGTTCCTCTCCACGGGGGAGAAGAGTGACTGTAATGTTCTTCTCCTGCTGAGATAATCAGAATGTTGAGGTTTATGTTGTAAATCTCCAGGCCAGTCCCTCAGCTGTATTTTTTAAGGGTAGGGACTCTCCATTCAGTACCACTGGTGTTCGTGTTCAGTGTCTGACTGTGCTGGCCTATGAGCTGTTTGCTCTGCTCTAATACAAATAACTTCTCTAACACCAAACTCTCTTCTAACTTAGTCATCAGCTTTGTTACCAGGAAAAGAAATGGGGTTTAATACTCTGAGTGTCCATGGCTCTGTGCTCTGTCCTCACTATTTCACCCTTATAGCCCACTTGATCTTACCTTATACTGCTGGATGACCCCTAAAGCTAAAGAAATGAAGTAACGTTTGCTTTGCTGAACTCCTCAAATGCAAGTCTTGAATGAGCAGCAGACAGTGAAACCCCCAGGAGACATTAGCTGGGCAGCTAAGGAAAGGTATCAGGGAGAGGATTCCTGGGACAGGACTTGCAAAGCCTTGGTAAAGATACTCTTTGATCATTACTTTTCTTCCTGATTTGTACTATGGGTAGGCAGGGTGGAAGGGAGGTGGTTATAGATGTGGACAGCTCTTGTAGCACCAGTGTACGAGTCCCTCTCACCCTGGACTTTCATCTGAGCTCCAGAGTATTCAGACCTGGATGGCTATCTCTTCCCTTTGCACAGGACAGGTTTGTGGCAGAACAAAAAGAGGTGGTTTCCAAGGCGTAGCCTTTGTCACCACAATGACAGTGGCCAGAAGGGCGCTTTGTGTCTGCTGTTAACTGCAGACCTGACACTTGGGTGCCCAGATGCAAGTGGGAGGTATCACTGGCCTCGAGGAGGTACAGCACCCTGGCTGTCTCTTCAGAGAATGTGAAGATGCTGCTGTAATGCTGCAGAAAACAACCACGAATCTTGTTTGTTTTGGGTTATTTCCTTCCAGGGATAGAATATATAATCACCCAGCTGAAATCTCTGATTCTGTCCATGGGCCTGATTGACAGGCACATTACAGTAGAGAAAGCCGTGCTCCTGTCTCGCCTGGAGGAAGAGTACCAGGTAAATGATGTTACACCACAGCCCTATAATTCAAACAGCAATAATCTCAGCATGACAAATGCATCTCCCACCTCAAATAACTGGCGAGGGAAGTGCCTGTGACTGCAGGAGAGGTCTCACTCTGCCAGTGTCTCCCCATTTGTGAGAGTTTGGAGCGTGCTGCTGTAGGGCAACACCATGGGCACACCAGCCCAGAGTGCTCCTGGGGCTGCCAGTTTCTTTTTGCAAAACCCAGATGGCTGCTTCTCTCCCTTTCTAATCTGAAGTCTAAAGTCATGGTTGGCTTCTCTTGCTGTGGGTCATCCAGCCTGGAGGCCCTGGTACACACCAACCTAATAACTTGCTTGCTGGAAACTGGCCTGGCGTGAAGCTCTCCCTGCCCCAAAAGTGGCTGAAGTTGATGGGAATCTTTTCATCCTCCCTTTAAGGGGCTTTGCTTCAGACGCCAGCGCAGATGAAGTGTGTCCTTCCACCAAACTCATCTGGAGATCTCCCTACCCCCATAGTCAGTGATCAGCACAGCTCCCCGGGGGCTTAGCTGTGTTTCCACAAAAGGGAGGCTGAGAGTTGCTGAGCAGCTCTGCATATAATCCAGTTCTGAACTGACTGGTGTTCCTCCTCTCCTTCAGATTCAGCGGTGGGGCAACGTGGAATGGGCCCATGACTATGATCTGTGCGAGCTGCGCGCTCGCGCGGCAGCTGGGACCCTCTTTGTTCACCTCTGCTCAGAGAGCTCGACTGTAAAACACAAGCTGTTGCAGGATTGAGGCTGCTGGGCTGGGCGCAGGAGGAAAATGCCTGGCTGTGAATTGCTGCTGGATGGTAACCACCCTCCTGCCACCACATTTTTCCTGGGATCAGCCTTGTGCTGAGGAGCTGCGACTTTGTGGGCGACTCCTCGCTTGGACTGCTCGCTGCAGTGCAGCGCCAGCAGTTTTGAGCCCAGAAGGAGGAGGAAAGTCAAGGTGAGCTTCCTCTGCATCCCCAAGACAGCAGCCCTGTCCATTACCAGTGTCTGTAACTCATCAGAGGAGCTTCCATGAAAGAAACAGTTTCCTGGGCAGGGTGCGGCACAGACATACCCAGCATATGCCACATGTCTTCATAGCTGCCAGCTCCTGACACACACTTGTTATGGAAATCTGAAAACAGACTCCATTGCATCTGTTCTTCATCCCTCAGTGTGCCTGTATGTAACACCAGGGTCCCTCTGTTTGATTAAAGGCACGCCCCTGCTAGATACTGAAAGCCAACGCTGCTGAGTACTTCTTTCTTTTAATCACCAAACTGTGGTGTGGGTCCTGAGCTGCCGGGCTCCAGGCAGGTGTGGGGATGGCTGCAGGCAGGAGAAAAACAAAACCACAGAGCAGAGCAGACACTAACTACCAAATAGATCTGCTCCCTCCACATCTCTGTGTGAGCCTCTCCCTGTGAGGTGCCCTGTCCTTGCAGCCAAGGAGAAGCAGGGAGAAGACTGAGCAATCCTGGAGCAAGAGGTGGGGGGAAATGTGGGCTCATGCCATCTCTGAAAGCACAGGGCACTATGAGCTAAATCTGTGTCTGACAGGTAGCTCCAGCCATGAGGCTTTCAGAGAGACCCAGTCTCTCCCCAGACTGTGTGTGCAGCCACCTTCTCATTTAACCTTCCCACCTTTCTCCTTGCTGCTTGTCTCGAGCAGTCCCGCCCCAGCCAGCATCATTCCTCAGAAGCTGCCCACAAGTGAGTGTAGCAGCTGCTGTCACTGAGCAAGGAGGGGAATTAATGACTCCTCACTTGGCTGTTGCGAGCGGCGGTGTGTGAGCTCCTGTGGAACCATCGATTTCCCTTCCTGTGAGCCGGGGGCTGCTCTGTTCACGCTGCAGAAAACTGCTTTTTGTGAGAGGTGGTTGAGAAGACGAGGTTCCCAGGCACACAGAGCCCCTGCCAGCCTTGTGCTTGCTGAGCTGGAAACCCGCTGTTATCTTGGGGGTGGTTTGATGGAGAGTGCTCCTCTCCCAGGCTGCTGCCGTCTTCCCGTGGCTCACAGGTTCCTGGCGCTGTGCTTGCAGGTACTAAAGCTTTCAGGCATGATACGCTACGATGATTTGGTTCAATCAGCTCACAGCTGATCCATAACCCCTTGTGACCAGGTCTAAGCTCTGTCTGCACAGGCTTCATGCCAACATGATGGAAGAGATAGAGCTTCATGTGCTTTTCCAGAGTCGATAAGTATCTTTTATTTGCAGTTTATGGTGGGATGGAAGAAGTTACACCTTTGGCCTGGAACGTCCCAGGTAGCTCAGGCATAGAGAGGCAGCCATCCCTGCTGCGTGTGCTGCTGCTGGGGGGCTGTCCTGTGTGCCCCCAGCTGAGGCAGCTGCCCAGCCCATGGCAGATTTACTCCATCGGCTCCGGGATCTTGATGTTATCCAGCTCCTCCTGCAGATTGTTGATGTACTGGATGATCTCTTTGACACGGTCACGGTTTCTGTCAATCTCATTTTGGAAAGCCTGAACAGATTGAAACCAAGCAGTGAATCAGCAGCTTGTCAGGGTCCCTGGAGCACAGAAGGCTCCAGTAAAGACGAGGGAGCATCTTTCCTAGCAGCGTCCCCCCTACTTGGGCCAGACCTGTCTGTGCCCCATCCCCCTGAGCATGAGGGTCTCTTACCTTCTCGGTCACGGAAGCCTCCCAGCGGTAGGTGTTGCTGAGGATGTTGCTCTCTTGCTTATCAATCTTCCGCAGGCGGATGCTGTGGGACATGTTGACTGCGTTGACAATGGTGTTTTTGTCCACAAGAAGCTAGGAGATAAGGTGACCGGATGAGAGGAGGGGGGGCAGGCACGTAGGGAAATCAGCAGAGCTCAGAGCTAGCAGCACAGTAACTGCAGTGCTCGGGGGAAGAAAATCAGCCCTCTGTTTCAGACAGACAAAACCCTGGTCATCAGGATGAACCCAGTGCTTTACCCTTTGTCTGTGCCTCGTGATGGTGTAATGGAGTATTACCTTGGGTGGGGAAACTGAGGCAGCACCCTCTCAGCCTTACCTCCTGGAGCAGGGAGAAGTGCCTGCTGCTGAGTGCTTTGCTGCAGCACACAGTGAGCCCCTGCGGGCAGCTGGTGTTGGAGCCAGGCAGCATATGCTCCAGCACGCCTGGCCCAGCAGGTGTGGGAAGTGGAAAATCACACTTGGAAGAGTGTCTTGCACTGGTGGCACTGGCTGTAAATCTTCTTTTTTTTCCTTTTTTTTCCTTTTTTTTTTTCTTTTTTTTTTTCTGGAGAGTCCCAGCTTCTAATCGAAGCGGTGACTTCCCTCATGGCTCTATATAGAGGGTGGCTTTGCTCAACCATAATGACTTTCCTCCTGCAGCCAAGTGCAGCTGTTGAACAAATGACGATTGCTTCTCGGTGGAAATGGATGGCAACAAGGCAAAATGGGTGCGCAGCGACAGTGCGGAACCGCAGCCATCTGCACAGGCCATAAAGCAGGGAGCTCCCCCGGGGGCTGAGGGGTCTGTTCTGTCTGTTAGCTCTCAATTACCTGGAGTACTGGTGGGGCTGGGATAATCTGGACAGAGCAAAAACCACAGCAAATGCAAAAACTCGAGTCATTTAGTCACTTAAATGAAGGAATAACGGAAGCAAAAAGGTCAGCAGCGTGGCTGACTGGAGCACTGCAATGATCTTTGTGCTTTCTGAAAGGCTCCTGGGGTCTTTGGTACCACAACAAGACGGAGGGCTCAGTGGAAAGCCCCATTGGATATGTCATGTCCTGGCCGTGGATCAGATCATGGGCTGGGGAGCTCTAGGAAGGGCTTTTGGAATCATGGAGGCAAACAGAGCCCTGGTGCAAGAAAGTCAGAGCGGTGGTCAGATTCTCCTGGGGGAGAAGGCAGAATGTGAACAAAACCAGCTGCCAGTGCAGCAAAGATGCTGCCTGAGTGCCTGCTGGGTTGGGGCTGTCTGGAAACCAGTCAGAGAAGTGAGTTGTGCTGGAGGCAGGAGAGACATTTCCTCAGCACCTCTCCTGGGCTGCTGCCACCAGCTCTGGCAGCACCCAGGGAAGCCTGCAGTGCAGTTATCTTCTCTCCTAGTCAACGGAGATGCCTGGCAGCGCTGCAGTTCAGCCAGGCAGCTGGGGCCTCTTGGGAGGAGGTTGTGCTCTGGTTTAGGCATGGCTCTAGCAGTACTGAGCCTCCTGGAAAACCTCTCCCTTTAGAGAAGAGGCTGTGGCCTCCTCTTCTTGACAACTCCCTAGCAGAGATTAATTTATTTTTTATGCTCTCACCATTTGAACATCAGCTGGCAAATCCTCATCAAGCTCATTCTTCACTGATTTCTCCAGCATGGTGATGGAGATCTCCAGCAGCTTTTCATGGTGACGGTTTTCCAGGTCCCGGCACTGGGTCATGGTACAGATGGTGGTTAAGGAAAAGGCTGAGCAGATCGCTCACTTCTAGAGGTTACATGACCTCCTGTAACTAGAGACTGTGTCCACACAGTGGGCATCTACAAGGAAGAACCTGGCTGCTGCCAGAAGCTGCTGTGGTGTCAGGATAGACACTTTCTGCTCTTAATTGCAGCTCACACACATCACGTCTCATCCTCGCTGCAAGAAATTATGCAGAACTAAGAGTGGGCCCAGGTTTGTAAAGGAAATTGAGGGAGGGCTCCCAGGATATAAGCTAAACTCTGAATATGGTGCAATTATTTACACGAGGCCAACAGATGTAGATATTTAGTGTAACCTGTCATTGAAACATTTTGGTATTCTCATCACACTTTGTTCCAGAAAATATCCACACCACAAAAATAAAGGCCTTTTAAAGAAACATCAACAGGAATGGTAGGTATGTCTTTGGCTGCTAGGGCAAGAGTGTACATAGAAAACAGTCTAAGCAGATCTTCCCAGGGCTGTGTCGTGGCTGTGTGGAGAAGAAAGGAAGATTCTCAAGGGGGCAAAAGCTCTGTAAGTCCTACAGACTTTCAGCACAGGCTCTCCAGAGTTTCCACAGAGAGAAGCTGGGCACCTTAAATGGCTCTTCTTGCAAAGCTGGGAAAAGACCTTTTCTGTTGATTAAAAAATAAATAAATAATAATAATTCTATGCTGATGGCTCATTTCTGGATTTAGTGGTGAGATATATATATATATATACACACACATCACTGGGAGGTCCAGGCCAACCTACTGTCAAAAGGATATATCTCTTTAACATTCTCAATGAATGTTGATGCTGTGACAGCAATGTTTCCTTTAAAATCCTTTATTAGTTCCTTAACAGAGAAAAAAAGAGGAAATATCACAATGAAAACCTGCATAAAGATAAAAGGGAGTCAGGGAGTCTAGGAAGAATCTACAATTAATTATAATTTGGACTCACTGCTGTTATTAGCACAGTCTGAACTGCCTCAAGCATTTAAAGTGTTTTGAAAGTGTCCTTCAGGGACAGACAATCAGAATCAGTTTATTGGAGGGAAGCTGACTGAATGAAACCTTTACTCGGTGTCTGGCACAAGCCAGCTGATCCTTTTTTACCCTCACCTAAGTCATGCACAGAGTGCTGTATTCCTGTGTACTGCCATGCTGCAGTCCCCTTGTACGTGTGAAGAGCCTCTTGTCAGAAGCATAACCAGTGCCTGGGCTTACTGTAGCTTTTATTTTAGTCCTCAGAACTAAAATTGCTGCTGCCTTTCTCAAAAATGGTTGATGGAAAAATCTGTGAAGTGTTGCACTTACTTCAGTGTCTTAATACAAGAGTTCAAATACAGCTACTCAAATCCTGCAGATCCAGGAGGGCATGCAGGGAGCAATGCTTCTGCTCATTCCATCACTGCAGAGACATGAGGACCAATTCAGAAAACACTGAAAGGCACAATCCTGATGCAGTGAGGAATCCATTTTGAGCTGCTGCTTTCTGTCATGCACATTCACAAGATGTAACCTGCTGCATCTGCTTGCACACAGGCCCCAGCTCCTGCCTGCTAATTTTTAAACAGCTTACTCTTTTTTTTTGGGGGGGGGGTTTTAAATGAAGATGCACATTAGCAGCCTTGCCCCAGTTTTTGAGGAAAAGTCTAGGGAGAAAAAAAAGGCAGCTAATATGCAAGCAAATGCAGTAAGTGGAGCATGAATGTTTGTAATTTTATTCATGGCAAAGATCAAAGAATGACACCTCTAGAATCCCAAATGCATACCCCATGCTGTGCAGTGACTTCTGTACACAGACCTATAAAATGACCGAAGGACCTCAAGTCCCTTTCTCTAAAGTCTGG